CTTAATTTAGGAGTGTAAGACTAGAGGGAAGGCAGCTAGTCATCACCACCCACCGCCAACTCTTGGGCTACTCTTTTACCAACGAATAGTGGGATTGACCGTCACATTATAACGCCCCCACGGCTGAAAGGGCGAGCATGTTTGGTGTGATGGGGATTCGAACACGCGACCCACAGATTGCGAGTCGAGCACCCTAACCACCTGGCCATGCCGGGCCTTGTAAGTAAAGAGAATTGGTAGTTAAGGCGTGAATACTTTTTTGAATGTAATGTTTTGTTTAAAGTCCATAGAAGTACAGTTTACCCTAAACATCAAACAGAAACTAACGTCGAAAAATATTTTAAAGTATCCTTTTTTTTTCTTTTATGTGCAATAATTGTAAGATTACAAAGAACTCAGTAATGTAACAAAGAAAACTCCGTCTCACAGAAGCGAGAAAAAGGAGTAAACATGTTTTAGTTTACTCAAATTTTAGCAATATGAATACACATACCACAATTTTCTTCATCCGTACCATCCCCACAATCATCTACTCCATCGCAAACCGAAACGCTCGAGATACAGTTACTATGATGATGGCAAGAAATCTGATCACGATCACATCGCACTAAAACAAATAAATAAAATTTAAACCAGGTCAGCTTTGTAATAAAAAAAACGTTAGGCCTAACAAAGTTAAACCAGGTAATAAAAAAACGTTAGGCCTAAAAATCATGAAGTTGTTTTTACGCTGTATACGTATCTCTTTCAAATCATTAGTTTGTTTCTTTATATTATACGTATTTGTAACAATAGTTGTAACAATCGTACCAGTTTAAAAAATAGATAAAGACAATAGATAAAAAACAGACGCAAGCAGTTTGCAATAAAAACAAACTTTTCAACAACAGCAAAAGAAAGAAACTAAGTTTAATGGTTTGACGTGAGTTGATTCACGTTTTGCGTATAATTTTTCAGCCTTAAGTATACATGCACACGTACCTCAATTAAGACTAAAATACATTTTGTATTTTCCTTTATTGAGCTTAATAATCAGTATAAACACTGTTTCAATTAACTTTTTAATGAAATATTCTACAGTGTTTTATATCATAATTCCTTTTTCAATATTTCAAAAACGAAAGCGGATCACATTTTCCTCCTGTTAGAATTTTAGAATAATTTTCCGCTGTTTGGTTGGTTTAAAATAATTTTCAACAATCGAATGTAATACCTATAACGTTTCTTATACACTGATGATCAAGGTCGTTACTCAGAGAAATAAGACCACAACTATTTTGTATCATGAAACTCAGAAAGATATAAAGAAATTAAGTGTATGAACTTGGGAAAAGAGCAGAAGTTAAGTGCCAGCTTTTAAAATACAATCACTAAATGACTAATTAGGTTAATAATGACATATGCTCACCAGGTGGTGTTGTGTGTTGAAAATAAAGTCTGAAACCACTGTTCCCATTTTCAAGAGTACTCGATGTAAACAGTATGAGTACACCACTAGAAGACGATAACAAAAATCGACGAGACAAAACCCCACAGAATCTTCCTAGAAGACGAGAATGGTCAAGTTCCCCATCAAATATTTTTAGTTCTCCTTCATGACATTCTCCAAAGGAGTCAAGCATGCGTATTCGAATGACCTGCAACATAACTACATCTTAGTAACCCTTTTCAAGTCCCTCGGTGGGACAGCGGTAAGTTTATAGACTTACAACGCTAAAATCCGAAGTTCGATTCTCTGCGGTGAACACGACAAATAACTCATTGTGGCTTTGCTATGATACAAACATTTAGAAAAATATTTTGTTTGAAAGAAACAAAAATTAATATGTTCTTTTTTTTAACTTTACGGTCACAGTCAAAACTTTACTATTGTGTCTTTTAAATGAAACTTTTTTTGAAAGATTTGTATTAAAATTCATCTAGTTTGAGAAATTCTTACTCACAGTAGAAAACAAAAACTAATTTTTCTAAACTAGTAATTCCGTTTAATAAAGTTTGTTAAAGTTTCTGATCTTAAATAAATTAAGCAGGTAAATATTAGTATTGAAATACATTCTTGTCTGTGTTTAACATATAGATATATAGATATATATATAGATAGATATTAGAATACAAAACTACAAGGTATAACATCATCAACTGAGAATACCAAAGTGAAAAATAATAAAATTGGACTGAAGTTGCGCAGTACAACCAACAGAAATAGATAGGAGAAACCAGAGTGGTTGCAACAGAAACAGAAATAATTGTGAAAACACACAATGTTACACGTAGTCACAAATAGCAACTTATGGTAACTAGATAGGTAAGTTATTAATAGTACAAAACATTACCACAGAAAATACAAACGTAAGGGATCAAGTTGTATACAAATACACAAGTATTTTATATTTGAACCCTTTACTTTACAAAGAATGTTACATCTTGTTTGTATAATGTATTTCAGTTTACTAATGCACGATTGTAGAATATTGTTCCAAATGTTCTGTATTACTCCTTATAATTCCCAGTTTTTACATAAGCCCATACAGCCTCAACAATGGAACCGTGTGTAGGCTAAGCCATGTTTCGGTCTCTTTACCGTCAAGATATCGTTTCGCCACTGTTGCTGTGTGCTCATATCGTTTCGCCACTGTTGCTGTGTGCTCGGGATCTTTGTCTTGTAGGAGATGAACATCATGAGGGAATGTTGTTGTTAAGCCTAAGACAACACAAAAGTCTACTATCCGTGCTTTGCCCGCGGCAGATATCGAAACCCGATTTTGGCATTATTAGCCCCCAGTCTTACCTCTGAGCTACCGAGGGGTTCCTCAGAGAACGACATGATGGTTCGAAGTCTACCCGTACTTTTCAGCAGTCAGGATGTCATTAGTTTTGTGCATGTTACCGACACTGTTCACTGAGAAATAATCTCAAAACTTCTACCGACCCTCCTCTTCCTTCACTATAGACATTATACTTTGATATCGTTATCCTCTGCCCCTATCCATAAAACTATCATTTATTGTTGCTGAAAAATTCCAGCTTCGATTCATCTGTAAAAAACACACACTTCATTACACGTTTGGTTACCTCTTCTTAGAAATGATTTTCGAGTAGCTACATATCCATCAAGACCACTTCGTGTATCTTATTGTTTTGAAGGTTGTTGGAATATTCTGTATTCGACTTGTTATCTGCCTCGTAAATTACATACCCTTACAACGCTAGAATCCGGGTTTTGATACCAGTGGTGGGCATAGCACAGATAGCCCATTGTGTAGCTTTGGGCTTAATTACAAACAAACTTTTTCTTACTGTGCTCCAGTAGTATTTGTCTTTCCTCATTGATTCCATAGATATTGTTGATACTTTATATAATGATATTAAGATATACATTTGACCACATAACTAACATATATATTCAAGTATTTTTAAAGTATAATTATAGGCTACCTATTATATAAGCGTTTTTGCCAAAGATTTCCCAATTCGCTTCATACAAAGCACTGGTTTCATCGTCAAATGTTGTTTTTTTTTTAAGTCACGACTTTCTCTTTACTTTAAACCCCTAGTTTCCATAATCCTCGCGTTATCTTTTTCGATATTATAAACATACCAAACCCTATTATAAGTCACGTGGAATTTCAATGAACTCTCTTCTTTAAATTTCAATTAAAATGTCAGGGATTTAATATAACAGTAAAACTATTATCTCTTTCTGTTGGGTACTGCATGGGGTCATTTAACCTTACAAAAAAAAATGGTGTGGAAAGCTAATGTAATATTATACTTCAAATTAAACTAAGAAAAGAATGGCTTAATTAAACTTTCTTTAGATATTAAACTATCAGCAAGACTCGTTCTATATTTTCTTCTCTTAATCAGTTCTACATATCTATTTTGGTACTCATATTTAAGAGTAAGTCTTCCATTCAACTTGATCATGATAAAACATTATTTTGGATTATTTGAATGTAACAAACAAACACACACACGCGCGCGGAGAAATATATTTCATCAGAATTTTTAACCTAACATTATATAATATCCAAGCTAGTGAAAGGCATCACTCACGCCGTAATCGATTTCACCATCTTGGTTGTTGGATGGAATATTCTTTCGCGTGACGCAATTATTGACTTCACCATCTTGGTTGTTGGATGGAATATTTTTTCGCGTGACGCAATAATTGACTTCACCATCTTGGTTGTTGGATGGAATATTTTTTCGCGTGACGCAATTATTGACTTCACCATCTTGGTTGTTAGATGGAATATTCTTTCGTGTGACGCAGTACTTGACTTCACCATCTTGGTTGTTGGATGGAATATTCTTTCGCGTGACGCAGTAATTGACTTCACCATCTTGGTTGTTGGATGGAATATTCTTTCGCGTGACGCAGTAATTGACTTCACCATCTTGGTTGTTGGATGGAATATTCTTTCGTGTGACGCAGTAATTGACTTCACCATCTTGGTTGTTGGATGGAATATTCTTTCGCGTGTTATGAATTAGTGGCAATCTTAAAACACGGTGCTTATATTTATGCGAATTCAAACAATTTAAAAACATCTGATCAGAGTGACCTCATTTGTTTGTTTGTTTTTAATTATGCACAAAGCTACACAAGGGCTATCTGTGCTCTGCCCACCACGGGTATCGAAACCCGGATTCTAGCGTTGTAAGTCCGCAGACATACCGCTGTGCCACTGGGGGCGTGACCTCATTTCCAGTTTCCTATAGCGTCTATATTGATCTATGGACATTAATTTTTTTTGTTCATCATTTATATGGTTAAATCTTGACCTTTGATTGAAAATAAATTAAAACAAATGTAATAAATATCTACAATATTTGTCGTTATTCTATATCTTTTTTTATACTAATCCGGCACAAGTTAAGGTGGGACATCTTGAAATATCAATAATATCTTTCTCGATGGAGCACAGACAATGAATATATAATAATTTCTTAGTCTATGGAAAACATGAAACAAAGTGTGATAAAAAAAAAGAGGATGATGATGTTGAGCTTACCATTTGAGGGGGACAAACTAGAAGCCATGAACACGAACCATTGAGGTTGGGTGGGTGTAAAACATCGATTATTCCTTGAGCTTGGTTAATCAGATGAGGCTGTTCTGGACTACATGCTATAAGACCTTTTGTTACTGGTATATCTTGTGTGAAAGCTACATAGAAATACAAAATATACCATTGTCAGTCTTGAAAATATTTTTATATACCCTGAAAGAAATAACAAGAAATAAAAAAAACACGAGAGTAAGTGAGCTGAGTTTAGCACAAAGGTGCAAAACAATGGGCCATCTGCGCTCTCCTCATCACGGAGGCTCGAACCTTGGATTTAATCGTTGCTCTGAACCACTAGGGGGACAATAAGAAACGTACCTTGCTTGTAGTGTGGATGGAAAAATAGAATCGCGTGGGTAGGTGTTTTGTTATAACAATGCCACATCCGGGTATCTGCTGTATCCATCAAGAGGAATCGAACCCCTGATTTTAGCGTTGTAAGTCCGAATATTTACCGCTGTCCCACAGGGGGATTTTGTTTGAGAGCAAAACCACAGTGGGCTATCTGCTGTATCTACCGCGGGGAATCGAATCCCTGATTTTAGCGTTGTAAGTCCATAGACCGGGGGACAATAGAATCATAAGAATGATTAGCACCATTAGTATTAGAAAACTACAAAGCTGTAAGCTATATTTTTAGGTAATATAAAAATAAAATACCAGAATAATAAAAAAAAAGACTGATCGAAATTGTTTTATAGCCTTTACATTTTAATTTCAATGTTGTTGTTGTTTTGCGTTTTGTTTTTTTTCAATTTATATACTTATGAGGGCAAATAAAATGTTATTAAAAACAAGACGAATTTAAATATCAGACCGCGCAAATGGATTTAATATTTTCTGTTTTTATTCACTAGTTTCTTTAGTGAAACATTTTGTTTTCATAGTTTTATTCGATCTTTTAAGCTGCCCTAAAATTCATATCATATAGATCTGAATTTCTAGTTACTGACCCAAAATTGTATATTTCTTGACTTTGTTGAAATCACTAGGCTTTGGTATTCTCGTGAAAACATTATTGTATAACCGAAATCGTTTTTTCGTATAGAAGAACCATATCTTCTATTAATTATGTATATCAGGCCCCCCAAGTACCTCAAGAACATTTAATAGTGAGTAATTGTTAAGTACGTTACTTTTAGCACTTTAGTAGCACCAGATTTGTATTTATAAGTAACCGTGTTGCAAAAAAAAAAAAAATACATGTAATGGATAGAAGTGAGAGAAAACGAAACATCGAAAACAGGTGCGTCAACTCCAAATGACGACGTAGACAAATGAATATCCCCCTCCAGCCTAGAGCTGCCATCTGTTAGCAATGATTCGAACTTCCTTCTTGTACGATTTTCACTATGTATCCCTCCAAAGGCTCAGCGGTAAGTCAGAAAACTTATAACACAAAAATCCGGGTTTCGATACCCGTAGTGGGCGTAGCACAGATAGCTCATTGCTTAGTATTGCGATTAACTACAAACGAACAAACAACTATGTATATTTTAATAAATTAGAACTTTACGAAAATTTAATGTTTAAATACTCATAAAATCTCCCTTCTTCATTCCGAGCCCCCTAAGCGGATCGGACCCGGGACGTTTGTCCCAGTTGCCCCCCTCCCTTTTGCGGACACATAATTCTACACTTCTATTAGGATACTCGTATTTAACGTTTTATCTTACGGTGTAAGTTTTTCCATAATGTTTGTTTTCCTTTGATTGCACAAACACATATGAAATAGCTTTTCCATAAAGCTGTATGAGAATAAAACCCCCGTTTGTTTTCCTTTGATTTCACAAACACAAATGAAATAGTTTTTCCATAAAGCTGTATGAGAATAAAACCCCAGTTTGTTTTCCTTTGATTGCACAAACACAAATGAAGTACTGAATGAGTTTTGGAAACTTCTGAATGATAAAAGCAAACATCATGGAGTTTCCCGAGATGTTGACTGCTCCACCCAATTTAAGCTAAGCCTAATAACTTCTTCACTCGTACATTGTATTGTAGTTCGCTCTTAGAATTTTCAGTTTATTTGTGACAATCTGTAGAAACTACACGATTGTTAAAGCGACTGTCATTACTTCCTGAACGTTTCATTGGAATTTAAAAGATCATCTTGTGTATGAATGATCTGTATATAATCAGTAACACTGTTTACACAATCTTATTAAGTTACTGTTCTCAGTTTAATCGCTATTTTGAAAATCCTTTCAATGTTGCTCCATTCCTATCTCACGCTTGCGTAAGCTTTAGCCCGAGCGTGGCCTAGTAGTTAGCGTGCCAGAATGTGAATCCGAGGGTTTGGGTTTCGCGTTCTTTTGTCGCTGAAATGTGCTCTGCACTTTGAGGGCATACGTTTGCTATAAGTATGGCAGTCAAATCCCACTATTCGGTGAGACAAGTGAAGCCAAAGAGTTGGCGGTGGGCGCTGTTGATTATCTGTAATTTTAAAATCAAGGACGGCTTTGCGCAGATAGCCCTTGCGTAGCCTTGCGAGAAAAATTCTAAATATAACAACAACAGCATGAGCCTAAGTTTGGGAATGTGTGTCTAAACAACACATCTATTGTTGTTGTTGTTTTGTTTTTGTTTTTGTCTGAAAATTAAAAGCGACAGTTAACAGTTATTTTACCAGATTATTAAATAATTAAATTTCGTAAACCTTTTTTTTAAATATGGGTACACTAACCTTTAGTTGTCGTTAATAAATTTTACTTTCTATTCATCAGACGACTATATTCAGCGAGACTGAAAATGTTCTTAAATTAAGCCTAAATTAAAGTAAACGTCTGAATATTTAGTCGTGTGTTTTAATATACGATAATATGAACGGGAAGGTCATTTCATTTTGAGTTTAACTGTAAAGGAATTAACTCAATAAACTGAAAACATCATCAATAAGTAAACACTTCTTCAAAACGTTTCGCTGTATTTCTTAAGATACTTTCGTAATGTTACTTTTAAATGACATACACTTTGCTTTTTAAATCTATTGCTCTTAATCATTACTTTTATTTTAATTCGAAGTAATTTACTTAAGTCATACAATGTTCTTTTGAGTAAACTTAAATATATTTTACCACGTCTCCCTCCATAGCTCAGTTTTGCAAGTACGAGAACTTGTAACCCTAAAAAACTATTGTTTGACTTTGCGCTTAACAACAAAGAAAAAATAGCATTTTGTCACAATTTACTTTATTTTTTATTTTTATCCATTTTTGTGGCCCGGCATGGCCAGGTGGATAAGGCGCTCGACTCG